GTCGGCTCGGAGTCAGTCTGGGTGGGGTATTCATGTTAAACTGCGGCATGATATCTCAGCGAGCTAGCACTATAAATAATAGTACAAGCAGCCACACACACACACACGTGCATATTTAAGTGCAATAACCTTGGACGCGACGTTAAACCCCATTTCACCTCACCTCTCCTCAACACCATGCCCATGTTCGTGGGTTTCACAGGGCGGTCGGGTAGCCTAGTTGTTAAAGCGTTCGCTCGTCACGTCGAAGACCCGGGTTCGATTCCCGACATGGTCACAATGTGTGAAGCCCATTTCTGGTGTCCCCCGCCGTGATATTGCTGGAATACTGCTAAAAGCGGCGTAAAACCATACTCACTCACTTGTGGGTTTCACAAAAGTTGTAAATGTCTGAGACCTGCATCACTTCGGGCTTTCCTCCCATATCAAGCTGGCATATGATAAACATGAAATACCATTCAAAGTGGTGTTAACGTAACTCACTCACTCACTCACTCACTCACTCATTCAGACATGTGTCGTGAGAAGTGACGATTTATTGGCCATCAGTCCTCACAAGTATAAGGCCTCTAAGCTGATCAAGTCGCATGTTGGATGTAATCGGCGACGTAAGTGGAAAATCTATAACACACAGCAAAATCATGACGCCGGGATGGGAGTTATGCAGGCTCTTCAGTTATATATAACCGTTACATAACAGAGAACACCAATAGGCACTCGTATCCCCTTTACGGTACCATCAGATGAACATACCACTGACGGATTCAGGAGGTTGGTGAGCAAGAGGGTGCACTAAATCTTTGGTCCACTTTGTCCCGACACATCTTGGAGTCTTGGAGAGTGCACAATATCATAAGTGCTTGCATATTGCAAGATCATCAAAGCCTTTGTCGCACGTCATCGGCGAGGCGAGAAGATTGTATGACTGCTTCGGTCAATTCTGACAGTAATCGCATGCGTGTATTTCACAATATATCGTTACGTAGTCATTTCCAAATTGAAACGCAAGGGTTAATCCAGAAATCGTACAGAGTTATCGTATTCGACGTAATAAGCGCCCAGGGCGCTCCTAAAATTAAAAGGGGGCTATTATTAGAATATTATTTGGGTGAAGAAAAAAAAGAATTGAAAGATAAATTTCGTGGTTTATGCGGACATCCTGAAATGTCAATGTACGGCAGATAATTTTTTCCAGAATTTAACTGCCCATAAATAAGGGTGCATATAAGACACGTGTGCGTATTATACGCGAATAAATAGGTCTTGTGTACATTGATCAATCGGAAGGGGTGCTAATTGAGATTGTTCACAAGCCAATATCTTAGCAAATATCGCCGTGGGCGCTTATTACGTCGAATACGGTAAATTGTGAAATCGGTAAATGACTACACAAGATCAATGAGTAATTAACAAATTATATTGAAATACAAAGTTTGGGGGTTACATTCACAAAAGCCAATATAATGGGTCAAATAAGTGGTAGCAGCCTGTTTGTTCGTTAGCTCTTTAACGCCGCACTCAGCATTTTTCCAAATATATGACGGCGGTCTGTAAATAATCGAATCTGGACCAGACAATCCAGAGATTGACATCATGAGCAAATAGGATCTACGCAAATCGGATACGATGACATGCATTACCAAGATGTAGGGTCATGTCTTGACTGTAGGACCCCATCGCGGCTCTCGGGAGGCTACAACCAAATCAGCGGGCCTGACCACCCGATCCCGCCTGTCGCCTCTTACGACAAGCATAGTCGCCTCTTACGACAAACATAGTCGCCCCTTTACGGCAAGTATGTGTTGCTGAAGACAAATACCGGCCCTTCAACATATGTCCGTGCACTCACGAATGTCCAGAATTTCCGTCGAATGTCTTGTCAGGTGTGTCGTTTTTCTCGAATCCGGAATTTTGTTGATGTCTGTCAGGAATTCAGTGTTTTCAGTAAGGCTGGGACGAGTCCGAACTTACTACCCGGGTACCCACCGCCCTTTTACCCGACCCTAGCGTACCCGGGTCTCAAGAGATGGGTACAAAATGTCCGATTGGGCATTTTGTTTCACCATAGCCCTGGCAAAACGTATTTAGATGCATGTAATAAACAATCTGGTCATGTATACACTGAAGTTGACTTAATATATCTTTATTTAACCATATGAAAAGTCAGAAGGAACGGGTGCATAGTCAGAAAGAAATGTGAACATTAGTGTCTTATAGTGTAACCATAGAGTTCTAGATACCTTTTGTCATTAAACAATATATCACGTGACTAACCACGGGTCCGGGTAGTCTTTTGGTACCCACCCGACCCGCGTACCCGGGTTATCCCTCCCAGTTTTCGGATAGATATTAAATCCGCAAGAGGCAAAGAGATCAGACAAGTTAATTCGCAAAAGGTCTCCAAACGCCCTGGTTTTGCATTTGCATAGGTACAGCCAGACATCTAGAAACTGTAACGTCATGAAACTACTCTAATTTTGTTATGTTTGTTTACATCAACCAGGGGCGGTAACTCTAATTATACATCCTGTTACAATCTGTACACGACAGCTCTCGGAATTTTACAAGCGCTTCAATCATTTGCAGCCCCTGACAATCACTCCGAATAAATCCACAATAATCTTTACTGCCGCATAACATCATGACCAAGTCGGTACAAATAAAACATATTCCTTTTCAAATATCAAAATCAAAGTTAACGTTTGTTTTTTTTATGTAAAAGACATAACTAAAAATAATTCCATGTACTGTTATCCTCACGAGGTGATAGATTAGCCTACTGATAAATGTACTGGCTTCTAAAGTCGTAGAACCCCAACATGGAAGCCTATTCTTGGTGACCCCTATGTCTACTATAGCAGGCATATTCTAAAACGTGCTTAAAACAGTACTTTCTCGTCTATATGCACTTACTTGCATACTTATACGTACGTGTCTCCTGTTTTATGGACAAAGAACGTCTGTTGATAAAATGCTGTGTGACGTCAGACAACCGGACTGGCAACTTTTCAATGTTACCAGACCATATAAAATGTTGCCAGTCCAGAATTTTCTATACTAACGAACAAAAGTAAGAAAAGGGTAAACAAGAATAGTACTGTTGAATGTTAGTTCTCAGCAAATAACAATAAACTGGTGGACTGTCAACTTAGTAACTTTAACGCATTGAAATTTTAAACATCAATAACGTGTTTAACGTTTACAGTTAATTTGTCTCTTACATTGACTTAAAACTAGAATGCTTAGGTTATTTAGGAAATACAATAATACCCCGACCATCGGATGTGCAACTTTTCAAAACTGACCTTCCGTCAGCAAAATAGACCGTCTCGGACTGTCGGGCAGGTGGACAATCTCATTAAAATCAGATCCTAGTTTTCGCTACCGTTAAACAAAGTATATTTAGCGATAGCGAGAACTAAGATCTGATTTTAATGAGATTGGGCAGGCGGGTATCTTAAACACTTGTGATGGTTGTCACGAAAGGCTACGGGACCTATGGAAAGTGGCTTATCGACAGGATTTATGATGCTGTCTTTATAATACAATACGACGAGGTATCGTATCGGACTAAAAGATCTGGTTTTAATAAGACTGCGATATGCAGATGCATCGAGGTTATCATACAATGATATGGGTAAGGTGAAATGGGGTTTAACGTCGCGTTCAAGATTATTGCACTGATATAGTGAAAATGGGTCCAGGGATATTGTCGTAATATAATGGAGATATTACACACTGGATGATCGAGGATGAGTTCAACATGTATTATTGATGTTGGCAATCGAACACAACCCTCTACCAACTTCATTGAAAACTATTTTGGCAATCTGTGATTTGACTGGTTGCGTGACATCTAGCCCCGGTGGCGTGGCTAACTCGCAAAGCGAAATTAGAGGAATTCATCAAGCGCTGACCAAAGACAGGAAGAACTTATGTAACACGTGGCCTATGCTAAAACTTACGTTAATGTGGTCATTGTGGGATGAAGCAGCGAAGGAAAGAGCGCTTGTTTGCTACCTTACAGAGTTAAAAAAAAATACACACAGAGGTTTGATGTCTACACTAATAAAATTATGTATTGATTGGTATTTATGTAAGCCAGTTTGGGATGTTTACCAACCTCTTTCAAGTTACGTTGAATAACACACACACACACACACACACACACACAAACACACAAACACACACTCTCTCTCTCTCTCGGGTCCGCGTATGTATATACCTTTTTGTAGGTTTTTCATTCACATCTCTTTTAACAGTTATCTAATCAATAATATCATCCCAAATGTGAGAAATTCATGCTCCTGCAAGATTAAGATGTTTACGTCAAATCAAAGAATTAAAAACAACAACAACACAGTTGCTGTCTCTTAAAATGTTTATTTTGTTTAATTAAAAGAGGATTGACGGCGACCAGCTCTGATTCTGACCAGATTTTAATGACGGGTGCTCCACCAACAAACATGGCAACAAACGGGCACCTGTCATTTTGTGATTAGAGTTGTCTACCCTTGATAACCCAAATATTACACAGGTGTTCTTTTGTCAGCGATTCCGTGTTGACTTTGTGACATAGGTCCAACATATAGCTTTGGTAGTCAAAGTTAGATAAAGATATCAATTGCTTCTTCGACTGTGCCGATTTATGAAAATATCATTTAGAAACACAGCTGATGAAAGATACTCTTTGTAATAAAACTGATTTTTGTTCCGATGGATGTGCCCAAATATAATGTCCTATTTCAATTAAAGATATCTAAAGAAGGCGTGCTATTTACATTACAAATGTTCAGTTTCATGTCACTACAGCTTTAAAATGTAACCTGGTCGGAAATCATGAGGTGATGACACATTTTTGGGACGCGATGCTTCAATGTGGGTCACGAAAATACTATTAATAAAGATGCGCCATCTAGCGGAATTTGCAGAAACTAAAACGGAGTTAAACGAAGTAGTCAGTCGGCTATGTACGCTTGTTTCCGATCACGGCTTCACTCAAACGAAGGGGCCCGAAGGACAGTGAGTTGCCTGTGACGTCAAGGGATTTTCCCGAGTAGAACTGTGGATGAGTCATCCTGAGAAATGAACATCAGCACCCAATCATATTTCCTATAAGCTCAGGACACCGTCGTTTGTTTCGACAGACAACCGCTGGTCCCGGGGACGAACCACCACACCTACAGGGGATAACGCCCCTCCGGACGGGCGATATCTTCTCGACCAATTTTGAGGCGATTTTTCAAGATGGCGGCCCCGAAAAGACCGGGTGACAGTCAAGGTATAGTAGCTCACTGATCTAGTTTGGGAATCCGTTGTCGTGCCCCACTATTTTTGGTTACTATGACTCATTAAGTTGTATGACTTCATGCAAAGTTACGCTACGGCTTGGTTAAAGCCCTACTGACGGTCATTGATAATCGGTTTACTAGCCTCGTAATCACATTTCCGCTTGGTGTGAAATGTTTATTGAATCTGTCAAAAGAATGAAGTGTGAATTTCGTGTTTATTGTTGTTGATCCGTCACAAGAAGCCAGATATTGGATCTTAAAAAAGAGACGATTAATTCAATCTCACCCCTATATTCTTCTTTCATGATTATGGTGAGAGTAATATTTTGAAAATGCCAACAGAGACCCGAATAAAATATTGAATGAAAAGACATTGTTGCGAAATATCACTTTGTTCTTGTAGATGTCCCACATCCTTAATTATTATCACATGATGCTTGTAGTCTTGGCGTGGGTTGCCTGTTATTCCTGTCCAAGCCCCATTTTGTGAATTTAGATCCAACCTTGTTTCAAATATAATTTCAATTTTGAAAATATGACCATGCTGATGATCATGATTATATATAGATATATATCTGTGTGTGTGTAATTTGAGAGAATGCGACATAATAATCCAAATCGACAATTCACTCCATAATATATGTTGGTTGTCTCTACTTATGGTTCTAATATTCAAGTAGATCATGTTTGTACCCACTATGATATCCCATTTTGAGAGAAAGCAACCATGGCTACAGTATTTTCAACTTGACAAATGCTGCAGTGTGATTATTATCATGAGGTCATCAATCTGTAGATGGTGTAGTAATAATACATTATTACTTGGTATACCTTAGGACATAAACATGATAAACATGATACAGGAGATCATATCTCATGTCATCATGGTCATGTTTATCAGTATCTGACTGTAAATTGCCTTTCTCTCCAGTGAATTAACACTGATTAATAACTCTTAACATTAGTGTTTACTGACAAACATGCCAAGAGTCATGTGTACCATGTAGACAAGCATATTTTTATGATGTTGTGAATAATGCAAGTGTTTCAGATTTAAAAGTCTTTCCCATGTTGCCATTACCTTATCCATAAAAACAATAGTTTTTGTTTCCCTAGATTAAAATGCTACTGGTACAGGAGAAAACCTCATAAATGTTTCTGTGATGGTATATATAGGAGTTCATGAGGTTTAATTGACATAAGTTTATTAAATTACATGTTTTCTATTTTTAGTTGGGTGACTAAAACATCTGCAGTATTAATAATTAACACAATCCGCTGGTCCAACTTTATTCAAATTCAAGGACTCCTTGTGGAATACCACTCTACTGTCACTAGGCATGTCAGATGATAAACAATGACAATATATGTCAAGTATAGCTTGTACATCCAAAACGTGCAGTCAATCTTGTTAACTGGCATCATTGACATTTACATTTATAAAGATTTCTTTTATGGTAGCATATCGTTCATATCATATATGGCATGTATGGACGTTTGGTGCTTCAAACAGTACCAATTCAGAATCATATTTACTGGACATATGCTGGACTGTATTTTTGTGACTGGATGGTAGTGATGGATATCGGCCTGACGTTTGTATTGCAACTTATTGTAATAATGATTCATGTATTGCGATACGTACCACAATATATTGCATGCTGTCTTTCATCTGTAATTTGTTATGAACCTGAATAACCGGGTCTCTCCCATCCCCCCCCACCCCCCCCACCCACACACACACACGTTTTTGACAACTTCATATTTTGTTGGATGTTGCTATGGTCACAAAGCATGCGTAATAGACACATTATATACAGGAAACTGTCACAACTAGTTTCACTTTTTCGACCACAGGGGAAAAGTTGTTAATTTCTTAATTTCCGATTTAGTTGTCACTAGTGACTAGTGTAAACTCTTCAAACAAAATGATCTGCATGGTTTTGAAAAACGCAGCTACCAGTATTTTCCAAACGCAGCGTTAGAAATTGGCACTAGTCCTGTAGTCCTTACCAAACTGCCCAATAGTAAATGTATCCTAAGGACTAGTAGAAATTGGTCCATTTTAAGGGTTTTGCTATATGTTATCATTATAAGGACTAGTGGACAAAAACTGTTAGTTTCTAACCCTGCAAACGTATTGTACCCATGAAGATTCCGGGGTAGAATAGGTCTTCAGCAACCCATGCTTGTCGTAAAAGGTGACTATGCTTGTCGTAAAAGGCGACTAACAGGATCGGGTGGTCAGGCTCGCTGACTTGGTTGATGCATGGCATCGATCCCAATTCATGGGTGACATCATGCATTGTTGATATTATTTCTACGTATGGACATACGTGAGATTTTATCTAATGGTGATTTATTTTGCAGTATTTTCAGTTCATAGACGTAAGGATTTGCATCTGGATTTCAACTCGCATTTTGGTCCAGCACCCTCTCCATCTCTAGCTGATATGGGACACACTACTCAAATGTAAGTTGTCATAGCATTCATACATGTCATTGTGAGCAACCCATGCTGGCCGAAAGAGGCGACTATACTTGTCGTAAGAGGCGACTAGCGGAATGGATGGACAGGCTCGCTGACTTGGTTGATGCATGTCATTGTGAGCAACCCATCCTTGTCGTAAGAGGCAACTATGCTTGTCGTAAGATGCGACTAGCGGAATGGGTGGACAGGCTCACTGACCTGGTTGATGCATGTGATTGTTTTCCAATTGTGTGGATCAATGCTCATGATGTCAATCACTGGATTGTCTGGTCCAGAATCGATTATTTACAGACCGTCGTCATAAAGCTGGAATATTGCTGAGTACGGCGTTTAACAAAAACACACCAAAAGAACAAAAAATACCGACATGTCATCATGGTCATTGTGTAGCCCTTTCCTGGGGGAAATACATGAAAGTAGTGGATATTTCTTCAGCCCTATAAATTCTTCTTCTTGAAGACAAGATCAAAGGACTAGTGTAGACCTTTAGTCTTCAGAGTTTTTAGCTAGTCCTAGTTGAACGCTTGAAATGTTTACAATGTTTAAATTTTCTGTAAGTTTTATTTAGTTCCAATATGTACTAAAATTGAATATTGAGCCCTCAAAAGTGACTAGTCAAAGATGATTACCATCATTGAATTTTTACTTATCCTCAGCACAATTTACTAGTCTTCAGCTGGTGGAGTAGCATCAGTTTCGGTGTACTGGGTAACTCTTAATGCATTGGGAAGAAATATTCACTACCCCCAAAGCAGTCCCATGTCAATAGCAATCTTTCGGGTGAGTGGACAAGAACATCTTAACATAATCGCATATAGCGTGTAGGTTAATGTTACCACTGAAGCGATTGTTTAGAAATTTGTTTGTTAATGTTATATTTGTTAATATCTTTTTTTATGGTAGTGTGGTGCTCTCTTCTGTCCAAGTTTAATAAAATAGCTTGGGAAAAACTGTTTTTATTGTGATCATGGATATACATCTTTATTTATAGTGAAAGGATTCGTTCACGAGGTAATTTGGAAAAGTCAACTGGAAAATTGCAGATTTCTCCCGAACAAGTAAGTGTTGTGACAAATAAGCATTCATGTCTGCATGTTGTTCCAATTTCTGAACCAAAGGCTTAAATATGTCTTCATCATACTCATATTCTTGTTGTCCTCAGTAACTGACAGGATTTTAAGATGCAGCAACTAGTATTGTTAATATAATAAGTTGAATGTTTCTCAAAGATGAAGTTATACATGATACTGTCGCTATATGGCTGGAATAATGCCGATGCAACTTTAAATTTTAACTCACTCACCCTTAAAATGACAGATAATGAGAAGATTTTAATTTTAACAGTTTTATCACTTATTTCATTCTAAATCATCACAAGTGTTTTGTTATCGATAAAATGACAATATGGAGATAAAATGATGTATGGTTTGTTTATTACTTCATGATTTTACCAGAGTGCAGAAATGTCTTCATTATCATTATCCACATCTTCATACTGCTCGGGAGTAGAGTGCCAGAGTTAACCGTTTTTGACGCCTTTTAACATTCTAGCTATAGCAATATTATCATGACCGGGGACGCCAAGAATGGGCTTCATTTATTGTAACAATGTGAGAAATAAAAACTTGGTCACCATCTTGAAAGTAAACACGGTGAAGAGCCATTGTTTTGACCACAAGCAGGGATAGACAAAAAAATTGAGGGACTCGTTATTTTCTAAACAAAATCGTGTTTTACATAAGCCATTCGCCTGAAATAAGCTGTGGACTAGATGGAAACCCTGGTGCCTATCCTGCACATATTACCTCCGCACACGAAGATGGGTTGTTGGTGACAAGGAAGGGTTTCCCGTGTCCTGTGCTCGTTCTAAGATTTGTTAGTGTCGTAGCAACAGATTGATGACCCTGTGGGGAAACTGAACATGGCATTGGTTTGTCAGCAATCTCATTATAATCAGATTCCCCAAATTAGTTCTCGCTATCGCTAAGCAAAGATATGAGGACATCCAATTACGGGTCACGTCAGAACGACCTTTCATCCGACCAATCAAAGCGTTGCTTACCAAATTATGAAAGTTACAGTCGGAATGTGTTTTCTAATCATGCAACCCTGAAAACGTTAACACAGGGTATTCTGAACGACAGTTACAGCCCATACGTCTGATTCCATCAAAATTATCGTCTATCCTCGCTTCCATGCGAGAAACATTTGAACAGGAGGCGTTGCACAGTACTTCAGAAGCACTGCCATGCAATCGCAACCATATATTAGACATTCCGGAATGTTCGTTTGTTCAGTTTTCAAAATTTTAATTGAGAACTGTGTCAACATATTTTTCAAGCGCAGTCTGAAATGGAAGTCACCAGGTTGAATCGAGCACCGTAAAGCTCGAGAAAGCTGCTTTCTAATTGGCTGATGTCGACTTGTCAGTCGTTTCAGTGGTCGGTCAAAGTTGGGAAAGTTCTAACATGACCCGTAATGTGATGTCCTCAGCTCTTTGTTAAGCGGCAGCGAGAACTTAGATCTGATTTTAATGAGATTGGTTTGTCAGAGTCGTACTGCCATTGTGTAGCTGTAATACTGCTGACCATTGTGAAAATCTCCAATCTCATCACCACCACCATCATCATCATCATCATCATCATCATGATCCTCGTCACGATCCTCGTCACCAGTCATAACAACAACTGCGATAACATCATCACATATCTCAATCATCAGTGAAACTGTTATGAGGCGCAAACAGTTTCACCCTATGCAATGTTGTTTGTTTTTCAGATTTATGATTTCACTGCTGATGATTTAGCGGATTATGGGGAAATAGGCCGAGGGAATTATGGCACTGTTAATAAAATGGTTCATATCAAGAGTAACACAAACATGGCAGTAAAGGTATGTTTTCTGTATTGTTTTTTCAGACATTTGATTTCACAGCTGACGATTTAACTGATTTGGGAGAGATAGGGAGAGGCAATTATGGAGTTGTAAATAAAATGCTTCATGACAGAAGTGACACAATTATGGCAGTAAAGGTATGAAGTGTGTGAAAATTGGCCTTTCCAATTGTACATCACCTCTGCACGTTCAGCTAACAACCCCTTGTATGCATGTCCATTCCCTCAGATTCATGGGTGCCACCTTTACAAAAGGAACCCACTGTCCACCTTGAGATTTCCTTGCACTTTGGCCAAAGTCTGACTTCCCTAACACTGGTGTTGTTTGCATGTTGTTTTGAAATTGATTAGCATGATTAGGAAATAAAGAAACATGTATCACTCTTATCGTGTGTGATGATGATGCAAAAGCATGCCAGGATTTGATTGAGGATATTAGTTGCATGTGTGGAATTTGTGTTCATATTGTCTTTTCTGATTGACGCTGCTTCATTTGCTTCAGCTATTTGTGTTTTGCATCATCAAGAATGATTAACTTGGCACGGTTCCCGTTTCAGTTTTGACAAATGATTCATCAAACTGAAATATTCTCCTCCTCCTCTTTTGGAGAAACAATTTTTTAAATTTTTGTGATTTTATGTTTGGTGTTATGGGATAGCTGAACTAACTTGAAAAGGGTAGTACTATTGTTGTTTTTTGTTACTAATTTGGCTACTAATGAATTCTTGTTGATTAGTCCATCATTTGTATTTGTTGTGATTAGTTGAATGTTTTAGAGCTGCTTGTTTTTATGTTATATTTCTATGCTAGACACAGAATAAAGGGAACATCTCATTAGTGAAAAGTTGATTCCATTGTTGGTTTTTGCGACAAACTTAGCACTTGCTTTTTGTCAACATGCAGCTCCCTAAAATGTATACATGTGTATCCTATGTGGGTATTAGGTGTGCATACATAGCCTCCTTAATTACTGATCGAAATAACATGGAGATGTGTCTACAACTTAAAACTTTGTTTTGGCGATAAACATGACAAAGTGCCCTGTTGATATGTTTTGGTGAGGGAAAGTTTATTTCTCAATCAAACGTACGATATTTGTTTTCACTCGATGCTGAATACCAATGGATATCATATTTAGTGTTATTACAAGCCTATGAGAAATCGGCACCAGCTTGTCTGCGCATCTAGATACACTGAAGCCTAAGTGGAATGTTAACTTTAATTAAGGGTGATAACTCAGTAATCATACAGAGTGCAGACCACTAGAAAATATATCTTTGTATGCAGTAGCAGAACACAAGTTCTGCTTCATATTGCTATCTTTGCCCTGTCAAATCAATTATGATCTATATATAAGTATCAGTTCCCATACCAGCTTATGTTCTGTTACTTTCTGCCACTAATACATTTTGGCATCCATTTTAGTAATTGCATGTTAGCATCAATATGAACAGTGTATTTTATCTTTTGTTTTATGTATCATTTGCAATTTATGTACCATTTCTTGGTTGTGCAGAAATTCCTTTCCTTGTGGCCATAGCCTGACCTTGAAATATTTTGGGTCGGAATTTTGATGAATTTCTCAAACTGTTTTTGCAATTGTTACTATTTGGAGAGTATGCATAAAATCGAGAAGATTTAAATAGAATGTGTATCCTTAGGAAAATATCCATACTCTAATTCCTTTTTAAAATTGTTCTTGTTTTTGCCAGAACCATTTGGTTGGTGGTTAAAATGAAAAAACCCCATTCAATTACATCTTTTACAAAATCACCCCTTAACATGCTTAGTGTATTGTCAGCTAGATGAAATAGCGCAAAAACTTTTGAGAATGACCAATTCAAAGTTTATCTCCTTACCCCATTGCCCTACTTCACTTGACATGAATAAAAAGTGGCTTCTCAAATTCTAGGGGTGACATGACTGGGGCTGTTACAATTCACATGCATATTCTATGAATCAAACTGTATCCCTTCATGAATTGAATTCGTTATTCGGGGTCATTAGAATTGAAATGTTTAATTTTTTTTCGTAAAGAGTGTTTTTTTACTGGAACTCGTCAGTTAAGTAAGATATGAAAAATGGAATATATACATGCAGTAGCATAACTTGTCAGTTTGCCAAGGCCCCTGATGGTACTGTCAACCAAAAATGAGACTATAGTGTAAGCAGCATTCACACAAAAAAATCTCTGAAACCTTTTTTTAACCTCAGCAATTACAAGACATACATTTACATACATTTTTAATAAACTCAAGTGTTGCACTTACACAATGTTTTTCCCCCAACACAAAAACAATACCCACTGATTTCCGTGAGCATGTAACACAGAATTAACTTGTTATTGTTATTCGTGAATAAATATTCGTATTCGTTACCCTATATTCGTGATAGGTATCATACTCAACTCGTAGTGTATTTGTTGCAGCCCTACGTATGACACACAAGACGTCAACTAAATACCCATCAAGTCCCCATTTCATTCACCCTTGTACAGATAGGGACCTGTCCCCACTTTTCACCATGAAGCAAACCGAAAAACCAGATTTACATTTTGCCCCAAATTGTTTTATGAAATTTGAATCTCTTCTGCACAGCTACTGGTCAAATAAAATCTGCAAAATGTCCGCTCATTGAATTACTTTCCTCCATGGTTTTTGTGTTAGAATTGGTCTGCAGCAACCTGAGCTTGATGTAAAGGGTGACTGAATGGACTTGCTCACAATATTAAGCATTGGTTTGCCTCTATAAGTGACCTTCCATCATCATTTAGCTGGAATATTGCTGAATGTAGCATTAAATGTGAAGGAAATGAAATGGAATCTGGTATTTGATTTGTAAGGGTTACACTAAAGCCGGAGTGTATACTGACATAGTGACGTTGTGTTTTCTTGCAGCGGATCCGCTCAACTGTGGACGAGAAGGAGCAGCGTCAACTCCTCATGGACCTGGATGTGGTCATGAGGGCCAACGACTGTAAATACATCGTGCAATTTTATGGTGCTTTGTTCAAAGAGGTGGGTTGTCATGTTTACAGGTCTCTGCTTTTGAGGTTCGTTTGAGTCGGATGTTGTTTTATATTTGAGACTGCGTATGAAGTACTGTTACCCCAGTTCAAATGTTTAATGTAGGATCAAAAACTCAATTCCTTAAGTTTTGAGCACCCGCTTCCCCAAAAAACTCTTCTGAAAAACGTTGAATTCCTTGAAATACTCAAGAACACACTCATGTCACCGACGGCAAATCCCTATCTCGTGAAAAGACTGGATGTATTTAATGACAACCTGGTGACTATGCTTGTCGTAAGAGGCAACCAATGGGATCGGGTGGTCAGGCTCGCTGACTTGGTTGATGCATGTCATCGTATCCCAATTGTGTGGATCAATGCTCATGATGTCAATCACTGGATTATCTGGTCCAGGCTTGATTATTTACAGACCACCGTCATATAGCTGAATATTGCCGAGTGCGGCGTTAAACAACAAACAGCATATGCCTGACAAACATATTGCATTACAGTTTGTATTACAAGTGGTGCTAAGAGCTTTTGGGCCGAGCTAGCTGCTTTCTCTCTCAACTCGCCCTGAAGGTGATAACGTCTTATAAAAATAGGATCGTGAAATAGGATCAGAGTTTTTGCTTAGTTTACTTGATAAATTTCAGGTAAGTTGATTTTGTCGGATGGAAAACTTGCAGGTCCATAACCATGTTAAGAATAACAAACAAACACATACATCCTAATGTTGTGGTATTAAGATACTTATCACGAGAATATTGAGATAACAGGCTTTTGGGACATTTAGTTTACATAAAGTGAATTGCAGACATGATAAACTACTGGTTTTATTATGTTTCTTTCTATGGCAATATTCATCAGTGGTTATGTGAACACAATTCAGAATATTCTTATTAGATCAGTTTATTTACAAGTTGTGTGCTACCAGTGCTATCGGAGATAGATTACGCTTACCTGATCCAGTTATCATTATCAGTACAAACTCATGTTTGAGAGTGATTTATCATATAAATGATTACTTTTGCAAACGTTTACCATGTTTACCTCTACATGATCATGATGAAACAAACAAAGAAACATAATGATGCATGAACATTTAACAATGTGGGGAGCCTGGGTTAGAATTTATTCCAAACAATAAATGCTTGTAGCGAGGGATGATTTATATGGATCAGGTCGTCAGACTCAACTTGGTTGGGATCTTGGCTCATAACATCAGTCACTGGATTGAATGGTCCAGATTTGATTATTTACAGGCAGTCGTCAGATAGGTGGACTCTGTGTGTGTCAAACAAACATTCATTACCATTTAATTCATGGCCAGGCATTGCTTTCAGATTTCTTCACATTTAATCATTTTAGCTTGTGTATTTTCAGGGGGACTGTTGGATATGCATGGAGCTCATGGACGTGTCTCTAGACAAGTTCTATCGCTTTGTGTACGGGGAGTTGATCAGCTCAATACCAGAAGAAATATTAGGGAAAACAACAGTTGCTGTAAGTAGCTGATGTAACATCTCTTGCCGTTGCCAGTACATTCAGTAATTCTGCTAAAACTGTTGTTTCAGTTAACTTCCTATTTTTCTGCTGTTCATGTGATGCATAATCTCACAAAAATGATACATGTGTCGGTTGCAATAAGCGAGACGTAGCACTTTTGAGTTTTATTCACTGCAGTGGAGTTTACATGTATGTGATACCTGCATTCGATCAGTAAATAATATTGAGTAAAGATATTCTGGTACACAAGCTGAGACAGCTACTTTGGGCAATTGCACACAGTGGTGTAATACTGTACTATGTAGTGAGTTCTTGTATCTGGAGGTCTGTGACCAAACTAAAAATGTTGCAATGTATCACCTAGCAACTTGTGTTACCACGGTTACATCGTAGCCTGGGCTGTATTTTATGCCAGTCTTTGGTGGCGTGAAATCACTTAGTTACTCTCATCGTTCCAGAACCAGCTGATGGTTTTACTGCACATTTATCCCCGTCTTTTGTGAGGCGTGAATCAGACTTGAATTCTTATCCGTTTCTTTTTTTTTCTATTTTGATTTACTTTCTGACTATTTTCTGTCTTTTTTTTACAGACTGTCAAAGCATTAAATTACCTGAAAGAAAAATTAAAGATCATTCATCGAGGTGAGTAAAATAAGTCTATATTTGTGAAAGGCTACTAGGGTATTCTGGGTTAGAGTTGGTTACATTCAGTCCCTAGCTACCTATGCTGGTTGTAAGTGGTGACTGAATGGGTGATCAGGCTCTGTGATTTGGTTCATGGCTTGGATCATTGCTCAGAGAGCTAATTGCATGTACACCGATATTTCTTAGGAACTCCAAACACCACATTGTCTTTCTGCAATACAGTTAGTATTGTCACATGATAAATTTTATGGATGTGTGGAGCTTTGACCACATGTTTCGGCATAATTGCAGTGTTTTCGAGGCCATTTTTTGTCGCCTTGCTTAAATACAGGTTTGCTGGGCTTGCCCCACATTACAGTTTGAATTGAATTTGTTTGTGATTTATGATCTATAATTTCCAACGTTATTCAAAATACAATGTCGTTGTTTGAAATATGGCCCCGGTGTATGTCACACATGAGGTTGTCGCATGTGGAAAGCCTTATATCCCCCTCCAGAAGTTATATATGAATGGGGGGGGGGAGGAGGATGAGGTTGATATGATCGGAAGTCTTGCCAATATGGAACTTCTACTTCCGAGTACTTTTTCGATGTTCAATTTCAAGGTTTATAAGAACACAAGCAAGTCATTTTTCATGTTAGTTAGGCGACACTTTTTTTATTTCTTGGTTTACGGATTTCAAACTCATTTCAAAAGTGAGGCAGGCCAATTTTAAAAAAAAAAAAAGCCTCCCACATTTTATTTTTTACCTGAATTTTGTCCTAAAAAGTTAGGTAGGTATGAAAAAAAATATCCTGGCATAATAAAAGTAAAATAACTCAATTTTTCAAGATAATTTTATTTGGCACTCAGCTTGTGCAAGGATGGCAACATAACAATATTCATGTCATGGGTGGAAATGCATGAAAGACGCTGCTATTTTGGCAGCAAATGCATGGGCAACGTTGAACTCTTTCAACACCAGCCAACCAGAAGATTACTGCTGTGACACCAAGTTCCCAGAGACTGTTGTGTGATAGATGAAATCAACATTTATCAAGGAATTATCTTCTGAAATTAACATCTTTGCTACTACATGTTTGGCCATATACTATTTGAAAGGTCTAATTAATCCTATCGTTTATAAATATGAAAGTTATGTGTATTACATTATTTAAATAATTCATGAACAACTATATAAAGTTTGTTTTAAATAAAAAATAATGTACGCTAAAACATTCATAACGTCCAAATTTAGCGCAAATTTAACGATTTTTTCGGCAAATTTAAGAAGTCATAAAATCCACTTACCTATTTCTTTTATTATTTTCATTTGTTTACGTTGTTGGAACATCATTTTAAAAAGAATTACAAATAATATCTGTCATAACCCATTTCCCAATGATAGTGGCTGTCCGCTCACTAACATGAGGAAATACCTCCGTTTTCAAAGCTTCGTATGAATAACACATACGTCCTGCCATGTCAGTATACATTAAAAAAACTTATATTGTTTCACCGACAAAATCTGCTACAAGGTTCGTGATTGGTCAAGAACCTAAGACAGCCAATCAAATTACAGCAACGGTAATTTTCAGACTTTGGCGAAAGGTTTGGGTTAAATCATGTTTTCTGAACGTTTTAGCATGAAATCGCGATCTATATTAAAAATATGGAACTTTATGGATGCATAGAGCTAGGTTACGAGCTGTGACAAAGATTTCTTATGCATATATTTTGGCATTAAGACATCGTGTCCGAGCCGAGATGTCATTTGACTTACGATATGCGATCGCACGAAAAGTTGGAAATAATAACTAAGATGTCAGTTTGGCAACTTTATAGATATATTTTTGATGATTTTATTATTTTGTAAATAAAGACGTTTCAGAACGTGAAACGTCTTTATTTTGCTGTTTGACATGTTCGATGAGGACCCGTGGTCGAAGTGTGTCGGAGAATTATATTTTCAATAACATTGCGGGAAATAGTGTCAAGACTTGAAGTGAATATATTTTTAATCTATTGATAAAAAAATGATAAAATCAAATGGAATACGTATTTCAGACATTGTGAAATGTGATAGATTTCATAAATGAATGATATGACAAGTAGGTTAATATAATTATAAACTATTTTGACTTGGCTTGGACGGTCTACCGTGCGGTGTGACTTGTGGTTTTGAACGGCCAACAGTGTTGAATTAGTTAAACTGGTCACCACTGCGCTTTGCGTTGACAAGCTTTGATGGTATTAGAGAAGGATCCCAGCAAAAAAAAATCAGAGTGACTTCCCTTTGCTTTACGCTCGACGAGGAAAATAAATCTTTTTTTGTTTGTACTTTTTGTCGAAAAGATCGGCGGTAATAAAAAAAAGGGTAATTTTCATTTTTATTTCTTTTTAACATTTGGACTTTGAAAGAGCGGCGCATCCGTAAACCAAGAAATAAAAAAAGTGTCGCCTTACAACTTTATCGTCCTCTTTTTAAAATAGTGTGGTTTGGCAATATTTACTAGCGTCACTACGTGTGTATCCATGTTTCAAGTACATATCGGCCTAATGAAAATGTCGAAGCAAAGACCAACTTCATGGCTTGGTACTCTTGACATTACTCTATTTCACGTGAAATGACGCTTTTTACCCCACTTATTAATCCAAAGCTTCACGACCGCCTCCGTGGTCTTGTGGTAGAGCGTCCGCCCGGAGAGCGGAAGGTCCGGGGTTCGATCCCCACCCGCGTCATACCAAAAGACGTTAAAAGATGGTACTTGTTGTTACCCTGTCAGGCGCTCGGCATTAAGGGGATAAAACAAGGACTGGTCGGCTCAGAGTCAGTATACTGTGTCTGAGTGGGGTTTTCATGTTAACCTGTGGCATGGTATCTCAGTGTGCTAGCACTATAAATCGGCATCAGTCCGGACTAGTACAAGCAGCCACACACATACACGTGCATGCACGCCGCTATATAAGTGCAATAATCTTGGACGCGACGTTAAACCCCATTTCACCTCACTTCATAAGCTTCAATTAGGGTTTTCATCTCTGCACCCGTCTCACAATCTGAAGTCTGGGTTACTGAATGAACCATCATTTGAACAGTACAGATTTGTATAATTTGGTCCCCAATACGCATGCTACATGTAGTGCTAAACAGCTCTCCGTTTTGGGATACATTGCAATATGATTTATGTGGCAATACGCCAACCCGAGGAGACATGATGAACAGCTGTTGACTCCTGTGGTGTTTCAGATGTGAAGCCCTCCAACATTCTGCTGGACAGAAAGGGCAGCATCAAACTCTGTGATTTTGGCATCAGTGGGCAGCTCGTCGACTCCATAGCTAAGAGCAGAGATGCCGGTTGTCGACCTTACATGGCAGTGAGTATCCAGGGAAATTGTTATTTTTCAGGATTAACATGTTTACATATTGTCTGAAAATTACAGAAACCCACTACATATATGATTCCATGTGTCATTCATGTTTTGAATCAGGAAATCCCTGTTTTGCTCTATCTGTAATTCTGTTTTATTTGGTATTCAGATAGTCATTACAATCAAAAATTGGGGCCTTTCATCTGTGTAATCTGTAAAGGCCTCAATATGTAACATGATAATGAGAAATTGTTCTTTCCCCTCTTGATAGGTTTGTCATGTAACCATGGTAACACAAGTTGTTCTTTTTACAGCCGGAGAGGATAGACCCTAAAGCTTCTCACAGGGGCTATGATGTGCGGTCTGATGTGTGGAGTTTAGGCATCACACTCGTATGTACCTTCATCCCTTCGTGCCCCCGTGTGGATTCTGCCACCGGATAGGTTCCCAGTGCCTATGCTTATCATAAAACCAATCTCATTAAAATCAGATCTTTCTATTCTGAATCAATAGCTAATGATAAAGTGTAAAGATCTGAAAACGCCTCAGTAGGAGATAGTCGTTACAGGCAATCAGCCAATGAGCATTGAGGTTCCAAATTTTCAGTACGAGTGACCAAAGCATTCACACAGGCATATTTAATTTCTGTATGTCAAGAACGAACTTAAGATTACCAGTTCCAAATGTTAAGTCAGTGCCTTTATACCGTGCTTAGATTTTGTATACTCTTATCGTTTCTGTGTTCCATGGTATCTTCATCCAAACACAATTTCTTTTTAAGTATTATTTGTATGAAATATTCCCAACAGTCTGTACTTTGGTTCAAACTTTTTGATGTCATATGATCACACAGATAACTGTGAACATGGTAGCATACCCTTACTAAACCATGTCATAATGATCAGAATTCCAACTTAGTCCAACTTACACCAAGTACCTGCACTTCTCTTAGTCATGCAAATTGGAAGAATAATTTTCTGTTCAGTTTGAACAATTAAATGTGATTGTTAAATCTTCCTTTTAACAAAGCATGCTAAGGTAAGAATTTTTACCATCCAAAATTTGTAAGCTTATGTAAAATGCTAGAAAAGAATGATGGAAAAGAATGATGGAAAAAAAGAATTTAGATGTGTGCAGTGTTGTAGAGTCTTCAATAAACAACTTGAACTCCCAGTAATCAAGATCTATGTTCATTTCAGATGGAGCTGTCGACAGGACAGTTTCCGTATCCCAAATGGACGAGTGTGTTCGAGCAGCTCACACAGGTGGTGCAGGGTCCACCCCCCAAACTGAGACCCAGGGAGAGGTTCTCTGACGACTTCCATGACTTCATTGGCACATGGTGAGTCTCCAGACATTGCTCTCCAGAGCCTTGCTTCTTGTGTGTATTTTGTTGGGATTGCGGCTCCTGGCTGTGAGAGGCAACCAAATGGACAGGTGGTCCGGGTCAGTGACTGTTGATTGCGTGTTGTCGTACCCCGATGGTGCGTATCAATCATGGGATTGTCTGGTCCTGACTTAATTATTTACAGGTCGCCTTCATATAGCTGGAATATTGCTACAAGGTTTTACGGGACACAGAAATCTGCATCCAGTACACACAAATGTATAGAATGGATGCAGAAAAAAATATATATTGCGTCCCGAGTGACGCAAAATAATATTCATTGTACCAAATTCTTGACACAAAATATAAAGTTCTTGTAATTAAAGTAATTATTAGATCTAACAGTACAGTTCACTAGACCATTTCATTACTTTACAGAACCTTCATTTTTTTCTGTAAGGACCCTTGTAAATAGTTTTGTAGGTCAAGGTAAAACCATGTTGCTAGGTCTGGCGTTGAACAACAGACACACAGTTGGTGACCAATGATGGAAATGAAGCAGTGTCTTCTTGTATTTACTCCAGTGCATCTAGGCATTGCTGACACTCTTCCTAATGTTTGGGTCCTCTGATAAATGTCTTGTTCATTTTCATATAAAAGGATGTTAAAAATGCATTGTAGGCAGTGTGCGCTACATAAGTACTATACTAGACGATCAACACTGTAGGCGAAATGTACTGTCGAATGAACTGATGAAGCTTATGGACAAAGCCTATAACAAGGCCATTGTTATGTCACCATTAATAAGTTAATGGTTAGCTGTTTAACCATATCCTACCCAGTTGTTAGATCACTTGCTTGATGAAGGTACTAGCAACTGTAGCAAAACATCACAATGAAAGAATAAAGAAGTTTACATGCATTTTGATTCTCTTCTCTACCCAGTTGTTAGATCACTTGCTTGATGAAGGTACTAGCAACTGTAGCAAAACATCACAATGAAAGAATAAAGAAGTTTACATGCATTTTGATTCTCTTCTCTACCCAGTTGTTAGATCACTTGCTTGATGAAGGTACTAGCAACTGTAGCAAAACATCACAATGAAAGACTAAAGAAGTTTACATGCATTTTGATTCTCTTCTCTACCCAGTTGTTAGATCACTTGCTTGATGAAGGTACTAGCAACTGTAGCAAAACATCACAATGAAAGACTAAAGAAGTTTACATGCATATTGATTCTCTTCTCTACCCAGTTGTTAGATCACTTGCTTGATGAAGGTACTAGCAACTGTAGCAAAACATCACAATGAAAGAATAAAGAAGTTTACATGCATTTTGATTCTCTTCTCTACCCAGTTGTTAGATCACTTGCTTGATGAAGGTACTAGCAACTGTAGCAAAACATCACAATGAAAGACTAAAGAAGTTTACATGCATATTGATTCTCTTCACTGATACCTCAGCTTCCTGAATGCCATGTGAAGTTATTGAGTGTAGGATGGTAGTATGTGTGTTGTATCAAGCATGTCGGACGAACCATTGTGGATAACATTATCTGTTTCAGTCTCACCAAGGATGAAAAACAGAGGCCAAAATACAACAAATTGTTGGTAAGAACACTTTGATTATTAATGTATGTTACAAATTGTTACCCTGTATGGTGCTTGGAAGTATAGGGATAAAACAAGGTGTGGTCAGCTCATAGTCAATATAGGGGCGGTCGGGTAGCCTAGTGGTTAAAGCTTTCGCTCATCACGCCGAAGACCCGGGTTCGATTCTCGACATGGGTACATTGTGTGAAGCCCATTTCTGGTGTCCCCCGCCGTGATATTGCTGGAATATTGCTAAAAGCGGAGTAAAACCATGCTCGCTCGCTCACTCACTCACTCACTCACTCACTCACTCACTCACTCACTCACTCACTCACTCACTCACTCACTCACTCACTCACTCACTCACTCACTCACTCACTGTCAGTATAGCGTGTGAGTGGGGTATCCATGGGAAACTGGCATGGTATCTTAATGGCCTTGCACTACAAAAGTGGCATTAGTCCGGTCTTGTACAAGCAGCCACTCTCTTGCATGCATGTCGCTACATAAGTGAAATAATCTTGAACGTGACGTTAAACCCGATTTGATCACCTCCTTGAAACTCCCACAGGGATTCCAGGCCCGAGTAGACATGGCAACATTCCCTGATTCAGTGGATCGGTGCTCATGCTGTGACTCAGTCAGTGTTTGACCTGGCCCATTCATTTATGTACAGGCCATTGTGAGCGTCATACAGCTGGAATATTGCTGACTGGCATTAAACAACATTCATTCACTCTTTCTCAGAAACACTAGGGTAACCTATCTCAGTGCTAGAAATTGGCAATTTTCCTATAGTACTTGCCAAACTGCCCAATAGTTAAGGTATCCTATGGACCAGTAGAAATTAGGGCTGGGACGAGTCCAAATTTACTACCCGGGTACCCATCCCCCTATTACCCGACCCTACACGGATACCCACTGTAGGTCTCTGGAGTTGTCTCAAAATGTCTGATTTGGAACATTTTAAGCTTAGCCCTGGCAAACGTATTTAGATACATGTATTAAACAATCTGGTCATCCATACACTGAAGTTATATCATTATTCAACCATATGAAATATCAGAAGGATTGGGTGGATAATCATAAAGAAATGCGAACATTAGTGACTTGTAGCGTAACCATAGAGTTCTAGATAATTTTTATCATTAAACAATATATCCCGGGTCCGGGTAGTCCTGTGGGTACCCGGGTCCTACTCGGTACCCGACCCGGGTACCCGAGTTACCCGTCCCAGCCCTAGTATAAATATGCCATTTTTAAGGATTTGGCTGTATGTTATCATTAAGGACTATTGGACTAAAGATGTTAGTTTCTACCGCTGCTGAAAAGTGTCTTGTAATGAATTAAGTTTGTGTTTTGCAGGAGCACAAGTTTATCAAAAGGTACGAGGAGATGGAAGTGGATGTTGGATCATATGTGTGTGAACTGCTGGACCAGATCGGGAGCTCCCCGAACTCTCAAACAAGTGAAAGTGAACATCCCCTGTCTTAACAAACCACTGTGCCATATCATGGACGAGCAAGAGTTGTATATATTATGTCTTGCGATATTGTGATATTTAATAAGACGGAGAGAGAGAAAGGACTCCTAGAGACCTGAAATCGAAACAAAAAACTGTATGAGATGATTCCATGTTTGATGGAAGAGTTGTGAGGAATCCAGGGACAGTTATATTGGACGGCCAGACCTCAGTGAATTTAGCATAACATTGCCCCCCTAAAGACAGCTATGTTACATAATCAACTATGCAGTTTGTAAATTTTTCAAGAGATTGCAGTTCTTATGCAAAGGGAGCTAACTCTTTGACTGTTTTCACTGACACTGAAGTGATCTCACAGAGAGGCAAGATTAGCTCAGCAAAGAATGGAATCTCGCAGTACTGGACTCTTAATGCATATTGTCTTGCAGTAGGAAGTTTTGAAAAGGACACTAGTGTTTTGTTAATTTGTACATAGAAATCTGAGGATGTACATTTAGTGTAAACTATGTATATTTTTGGGGGCTGATTATATCAGACCAACTTTGTGATACCGGTCAACAGAACTGAGTATGCAGTGCTTTCTGATACATCAACAGATGGCTTGTAGCATCATTTACATTGTCATCGTCAGTACGTCCTGGGTTTGTAACACTACCTTCCCCCTGTCAATACATACAGACAAGACGAAGTAGCATAGTGAATCCTATAGACAAGCGATGAAATGTGCCCGTGTAAAGTCGGACATCCAACGTGTAAAGTAGATGATATAAGGCTAGCAAAAGTATTCTACTCCAAAGAAGTTAAGGAACATCTAATTTTTCATATGGCTATAGTTAATCAAGCCTGGGTATTACAACCCATCTTTCCAATTGTGGGTGTTCCTTGACTTGTTTTGAGTAGTATTTTGGGGGTAATGTAATGTGAATGCTCATTGGTCAGAGCACTCCTGTTTTACATTTTGCTGGGACCGGGTCATGGCTTGATTGGCTGGTTAAAAATAGCGATGACACTGCATATGTATTGACAGGTGATGGAAGAATTTAGTGTAAGCAAACCCATGAAATATTGACAGTGTTACATTACATAGTTGTCATTTAACAATTTGTTAAGAAAAAGAAAATGTGCTTGAGTAAGTCTCATAGTGACCTAGCCATTTGTTCTGTTATTAAACTTCTAGATTCCATCTTGAATGTACAAAGATATGTTGAAGGATATTCTTGTTTCGATAAGTGCTATATAAGAGAGGACTATCCCTATTGTCTGTGACTCGCATGTTTTTGACAAGACAACTGAACGCACTGTCATGAAAACAGTTTCATTGTGACATTGTGCACGACATTTCAACTTCAGGCTGTGCCTTGTACCGCTGACCTAAAGTCCGAATTTACCTTGAGACAAATTCTGCTTGGGCTAGTACCGCCATATCTGGACTCCGTTTCACAAAGTGATTGTAGGGTCAAGGCTGGCTTAAGTCTGTGTTTAGTTTTTGAATGAAATTTGTTTTGGACTAGTACATTGAGATTACTATACTAGTCCATAGTAATAGAGTAATATGCTGAAGACTTGTTTGGGCTAGCATGTATGGATTATCATAATAGCCGATATGTAATGGAAATAACAATGCTCAAGACTAGTTTGAGCTAGTACGTCTGGATAATACGAGTCCATATGTAATAGAATAATTATATGGCTAATTTGGGTTAGTACATGTGGATTACGCTAGCAGACAAATAATAGTAAAGTTAAAGCAACGCAGACAGACAAGTTTGGACTAGCAGAGAAATGGTTCAGGCACAGGCTGGAATGTAGGTAGGTGAGCACTCAATATTCAAAGTAAAATATGAACGATGTAAATTTGGCTTCATGAAATCATTTGATATTTTGTATGAACTGTTGAGAAATTATTGCACATAGATGGTTATATAATATGATATATTTATTTTCCAGTTGAGTTTTGTAATATTGAGAGTTAACTTTCTTTTCTTTCTTTTTTTTTCTTTTTCTTTTTTTTGTCAGCTATTGTATTTGGGAAGCAAAAAGCACAGTGAGCATCTCTTCATGGCCAGTTGTTGCAGCTTGGTATTGATGGAAGAAACTGACACCATGTTCATGATTCGATGGTTAATTAATGAATGAATTTACTTCCACAGTATTTGAAAGTAGGATATGCTAGGAATACATGTCAAATGTAGATAACCCTAGTGCAATATCTTTGTGTTGTCATTTGGGCTTCCAGTGAAGATCGGATACAAATTTGGTTGCCATGGATACCCTTGTCTTTGTTTATTTTCATTGAGAACATAATGTGGTCACTTCTTATGCAGAATGGTCAAATAAGTTTAACACTTTTATTTTAAAAAACCCAACCCAAAACAAGTCACAGTTTTACTTGGATGACTTTTTACTGTGAGAAGTACAATTTTTTAGCACATCACTGTTACATCCTATGATTTGCCTTCGAATGAAGTAACTCAAAGTAAATTGTTTTGGAAGCAGCAATAATATACTACCAAATGAAAGTTAGGGACCACCTGATTCTTTCATACCACTACAGTCAATCGGTCATGGCATGAAAGATTTGCTGTAGTAATATGAAAGAATTAGGTGGTCCTTGACTTTTTTTTAGTAGTATATCCCCTTAATTCTGCCTTGATTTCAACACCAGAGAGGCCTTCTATGTGGGTGCCGATACCCAGTAGGTCTTCCAGTTATTTTCCCACTACCGGGTACCCATGTAACACACAGGCTTCAGTTACGCTGCTGTCAACATTCACTGGAGCATGATTTCTTTTATAGACTATTTTAACAAGATTTGTAAGTTTTAAAACAAGGACAGTGTGATTGTCTCATGATTGTCTTGACTTTTGAGCTAATGAACTAGTTTAAATGGTGCATGTCTCTTAATAATGTTAATTAGGGGTTAATGTCCATCACATGACTCTTCGTTTTGGGTCACATTTTGTGTCGACATGTTACAGAAGAAATCAGGTTCCAAGACAAAATTTACAAAGGGTTGCCATGGTATTTTGTTAATTATTTTACACACGTCTTGGTCTCATATTTGTTGAAATAATGAAATCAAATTCAGTTGATGGTATTGATTCCTTTCGTTATGTTTTAAGACTTCCAGCTGTCATTGTGTTTCACAATATTTCAGGCAGATGTTAATGAAAAATCATTTTTAGAAAGTAAAAAAAAATTGAGTGATGTCTCTTTTTAGATCATTGGTAGACTATGTGATGCTGTTTATTATGATTGTATTGTTGAGAAAACTCATCTCTATTGATGTTTCACTGTAGGTTTTTTCTACAAGTGCATCTGTACCCTCATCTGCAAAGATTCTTATATAATGTTGTCTGTTAATTATTGAGCAAGGGTAAGATTTTAGATGTGTATTCACATTGTCACATTTTAGACAGATTTTAGCATGACCATGTTTACCAATTAAGGCTATTTTACATGCTTGTCTTGTTAGTAAGAGTATTATAGAGTATACACATATTTACATAAAAGTTGATAAATTATTAAGAATTTATAGTTATGACATAACCTTTAATTTCACATGGTATCACATAAAATATTGTCTTTTCACTAGCATCTCATTCAAATCAGATCTGTTACTCTTGATGCGATACTTCTCTGCATGAAGATTGCATCGCGTCACCAATCAAACTGAAGGGTGAAGGGTTCTCGAGCAATCAGATGTCAACTTCTTTATCGATTTGGTTTCCCTGCCAACTCTATTCAGACATTTTTTATATAAAAAAAGAACATAATAAGTACATGTACCTCGGTAGTACACACGACACTCAGAAACAAACGAGTGTATAAGATATTCACAATTTTTATACTCCAAAAAAGTTTTTTTTTTTAAAAACATTTTTTTTCACATGATTATAGTTAATCTGTCATGGACATATTAACTATAGTCATATGAAAAAAAGGTACTTTCACATCTTTTGAGCTGTATATAGCACAGCCTTTATTATTTTCCATTTTGAATTGCCCATTTATGTTCGTTTTCAATACACAGAAATCTGTTATGCTGCTCTAAATGCTTCAGAGAATTTAGAAGCCTCAATGCTGATTGGCTTATTAGAAAGTTCACCGAATGAGACCAATGGATGTTTTTTCAGATCTTGGGGATGAAGGTATTGTATGGGAGTAAACGATCTGATGTTAATGAGACTGTTTCACTAGTTGTGCTACTAACTGTTTATATCATGTACACATTAACCTTGAGATTTCTCATCAACACTAGCATTGGAATAACTAATCAGTGCACTGGTTAAGAAACAATGAGTTGGCATAATCAGTTGGCTGGCGATTTGGAGATACATGTATACCTCAGTCTGTAGCAACTTACATCACAGGGTTAACTAGAATAATGTACATAGTTGTATATCTGTTGTGTGTAGTCTATCTAGCAAAAAGTTGCTGAAATAAAATTACAATGGAAAGCTGGAGGCAGTGTCTAGATATCTTACTCCATCAAAAGAATGCAAAATCTATACTACTAAAAACAAGTTAGGGACCATTGATTCTTTCATACCACAATAGTTAATCTGTCATGCCTTGCCCTATTTACTATCGTAATATGAAAGAATTGGGTGGTCCATAATTCTTTTTAGTACTAAATAACCTACTGGCATTTACCAGTAAGTTGATATGCAGTTTTACAATTATCAGAGTTGAAATATTTAGTTATAGTAAATAGGACTTTTTCTGATCTGAACTTAGAACTGTACTACTCATAAGAATTTAAGGACCACCTGTTTCTTTCACATTACTATAGTTAACCTGTCATGGCATTTTCTGTAATATGAAAGAAATAGGGTGATCCTTAACTTTTTTGAGTAGTATATATCATGTAGCTGAATCTTGGAATGCAGCACCATTCACTGGATTGTCTGTAAATTTTAACCTTTTCTCTCACTCGCTGCTGTGGCGAGTGTTTTTTAAGTCACAAAGCGGATGCAAAAGCTCTAGGACTAATTTGTAAAAAGGGTTAAATGTGCATGTGTGGAAAATGATTTAGTTACTTTTGTCAGAGGTAAAAACAAGATGTAAGGCCAGAGAAATTAAATATTTTGTTTCACAGATTGTTTTTGGTCATAATGATTGTTTTGGGTCATTATGTTAAGAGTCAGGAGGCGAAAGAAGAAATACTGTAGGGTTTTCTCAAAATAAACTACATTTTTAACTAATTGGCAGTGAAAAAGTTTAACAGTTGACAGTTATTTTCTTTTCTTTACCTTTTTGCTATTTTGAAAAGTTTAGTGTAGCCTCGTGCAGATTGGAACAAGATAATTATTTGGCCTGAAAAATATGTATTTGTTAAGTTTATCACATTATTCATAAAGAATATTGAATATATTTAGTGTATGAACTTCAGCAATTTAAGCATGAACAGATTTGTTAGTTCCATATGTGAGTATTAAGAAATTTGATGTCATTTTTAAAGAGTATGTCTTGAAGACAACATATTTTGAAGTCGTAAAATCTGTTTGGAGAAAGTATTTTGAATTTCAAATCAAATAGTTTTCTTGTACATAACAGAAAAGATAAGTATGACAGTATTTTTATGAAGCACCTCCATCTATGAAATATAGTGTCTGCTGGAAAATGAGAATACCCAGAAAATGAACTGTTCACATTTTAAATCTTATGAAGCAAAGTTTATATAACTGTTTCTGACACAGTATTAATGCAATGTAAGAGATGTCCCGAAACTATACGCTCTCATGATTGGATGAGATGTGTTTACACTAATTTAGGTCGTATGAAAGATGTTCAAAGAGCATATTTTTATTATCAGCTATGTTGTAAATATTTTCATTGGGGTTTGTAAATGAGAAAGAGATTGTTTTATTTCACAATGACAATAAATCAACATGCAGAACTGACCATCAAGTGTTGCTGTCTTTGTAAGTGTGAAAAAATGTGTGAAAGGCTCAGAATTGGTTCCCCGTACTCGTCTCCAGTCCACTGATGTGAATCTGGTAGCAACTAGTACTACAATAGCGGGCAAAAGTTGCCACCTGATTTTGTGGAAGAGATAACTTTGACATTGTTGAATGTACAAGTACATCTATTCTGAATATAAAAAGCTAGGGATCATGAATATATGTATTGGGATTTTAAAAAATAAATTTTTTGACTGAGCAGTGTGTCATAAAAATATTGTCCAAAATAATCTTGATCCCTAGAATATTTTGTTCAGTATATTTATTACTGTCAGAAATCAAAGCTTTGTATTTGTTGAGTATGGTTAGGAACAATACAAAGAGACAACTGTGGGAAATAAGTTGAAGGTGATCCTACAGTAAAGTTACAGAAAACTTAAGGCTTGCTCTGGGTGACGATTTGTCCTGCAGCTGCACACAGTGTTCTCCAACACTGGTCCCTGTTGTCCTTGGCGAGTCTCACCGTCTGTAATACTGGTTGGTAGGGTCTCCCATAGTGATGGTGCTGGTGCTGAGCAGGGGAGGTAACTCATGGCCCTTCAGTATCTTGTTGACAACATAGTTATTGCCATGTGGACAGACTTAGTTGCCTGGCAACAGCATGAGCTGACAATGCTCCTATTGCCATCAGATGAGGCATTGTTCCTCAGCTGGCAGTAGAGCAGCCGATATGATTGAAACAGATACGGACTCATCTTCCGGTTGTGAAACACCTGTTACCATGCACATCAGATAAGGAATATTTAACATGCATTTATTCATTGTTTTTCTTGAACTGCACAATGCATGGATGTCATCATTGTTTGTTGTTGAACACTGCACTCAGCAATATTCCAGCTATATGATAGCGGTCTATAAATAATTGAGGTTGGACCCGACAATCCAGTGATTGACATGAGCATCGATCCACAAAATCGAGATACGATGACATGCATCAACCAAGTCAGCAAGCCTGACCACGACAAGCATAGTCGCCAGGTTGTTATTAAATACATCCATTCTTTCAACGAGGTAGAGATTTTGGAATGGGGGTGGGTTGTTTCAAAACTTAAAGAATTGAGTTTTTAATCCTACATTAAACGTTTGAACTGGTTTAACAGTACTTCATAAGCAGTCTCAAATATAAAACATCCGACTCAAACGAACCTCAAAAGCAGAGACCTGTCAACATGACAACCCACCTCTTTGAACAAAGCACCATAAAATTGAACGATGAATTTAAAGTCGTTGGCCCTCATGACCACATCCAGGTCCATGAGGAGTTGACGCTGCTCCTTCTCGTCTACAGTTGAGCGGATCTGCTGCAAGAAAACAACGTCCCCATGTCAATATACACATCAATCAAGTCAGCGAGCCTGACCACCCGATCCTGTGAGTCACCTCTTACGACAAGAACGGGTTGCTGAAGACCTATTCTACCCCGGATCTTCATGGGTGGATGACCTTATCCTCAAGTTAAAGCCCAGTATTTGAAATGGCGACCTTCTCTTGCCTTTCAGTGCATGTGCGACATGCCAGTGCTCCCCTTGCTTGTAAGAACCGATTACAAAGTAGGCTAAACCTTACTCAAATAATATCTGAAAGAGGTAAGATTGATATGAACTTTCAGAAGATACAAGATGTGGTAATACTCAAACTTTACAGGATAGAATCAATTTATTTTGCATCAGTGCCACATTTTCTATTCACAAATATTTGGTAAAATATGTGTATGTGAAGGAATTTGTTGAATCAAAAATAAAATGGATGTTTAAAAGCAATAATATGTCTGCTCTTAGGAACTTTGCAGTCCCCTGCATTTGCTCAAATAGGAGCTCCGCAGCAATTTTCTCAACCACGTGCTTGTGACAGACGATTGGATCACATTGAAGGTAAAGGTCACTCAGTTTGAGTTATGGGTCAAACAAGCTTGTGTACAAGATAACGTGAGTATTGTGAATGGAAGTTGATGAAACTTGGTATGAATACATGACATCTAAAGCAAGGTCTCAACCACATAACTTTTGGATTACCACCATATAAGGTCATGGTCCCTGAAGGTTAAATTATGAAACATGGTTTTAATTTCTGAAACTTGGATTATTTCATTGAAAATCATCTAACCTTTGGAGTCCAGTTCACGAACTCAACACCTATCATAGGTCATGAATGTGTCAAGGTCACTTTTAAGGTCATTCATACAGCAAATGACATTTAAATAGCTCATTTAGGTACTCTTGTTGGTATGATATAAAGACTTCAATATATTCTTTGAATCGGGGGATGGCCTAGTCGTCAAAGGTGCTGCAATTCTCTGTGCAGAGTTACGTCCCTTGAGAATGCCAGAAACCCATGGTCAAGGGTTCCATTCCCAGTTTGTTTTATGTTTCTAGGTTTCTCAGCACCAATCCGTGTTCGTGGGTGTCACTGAAGTATGTCAGATTGAGCTGACAGCTGTGATGTAACTGGAATACTGTTCAAAGCGTAAAACCCAACTCACATTTGTAACATCTCATTTGTGATTAATGGATGTTGAATGTCAAGGTCATTTGGTGTTTTTGTGGATGTCCAAAACAGCTTGTGTACACAATATCTTGAACATTTGTAACTGGAAAACATAATCTCTGGGCAGTCCAAAGTTGAGATTGTAGGTAAAGTTTTCCAGTTAATACATCAGCTGACCTACAAGAGGAAGACTTTCTCTAGGACTCCTGATATTTTGCTTGCAGTGTTAATGATTTTAGATAAAGGTACCCTAACTGAATGAGGTACAATTTACTAAGCATATCCTTTGTGTCCTAAGGTGTGAAAGTGCTCCAACACTGCTGAAATGCCAACTTGCTCACTTTCCAACTATCATGAAACATAAGCAGTCATAAAATCACTGTTTCTACAAACTCGGATGAATTCACTGCAGCTGTCACATCTGTACAAGCTAGGCTTGTGGCTGTCATTAATCCACGGAATTCCAGAGCAGAAAGTGAGCCAGTACCTTGTGAGGGGGTTCCAGAGCTGAATACCTTGGTACCTCATGGGTTATCTCACTGTGGTGTGTGCGATCATGCGTGTGCCATTATACCTTGATTGGGGATGCTCATGATATCAACCACTGGTTTTGATTATTTACAGGTCATCAAATATGGCTGCAACTTTGCTGGCTGTGGTGTATAACAATATGTACTCACTAGTCTGTCTGACCAGGTAATAGAGTTACTCGTCATGACCAACACTTGCTCCGGTCAACATCTTCTGGGGGATCAAGGGCATCCCCACATCCCATGAACAGTTACAGAATGCACAGAAATTTGTGTTCACAGAGAATCACCACTGGATTTCAGGTTACAATAGGCCCCCAGGACCCTGTGCTCAGTTTATGTGTAAGAGACAACTAAATGGATCGGGTGGTCAGACAAGTGGTGTGACTTGTTCGATTGCATGTCAGCATGCCCTGACAATGTGAGAAGTTGCTCAGGGAAGGGACAAGGGAAAGTCCAAAGTTACTCCCAAGGTACCCAACCTCACTCGGGTACCCACTGTAGGTATCAAGAGCTTGGTACAAATTGTCCGATTGTGAATTGTTTTACCAGAGTTCTGGCAAAAACTAATTACCTACATGTATAAAACAATATGATCATGCACACACTTAAGATGACTGAAGCTTTATCTTTACTCTAACATACAAAAGTCGGGAGAGAATGCGTTCAATGTCATAAAAAAAATTGCCACCATAAGCGACTTATTGTGTAACCATGGTGTTTTATTGTAATTTTCATTAAACATCATATGGCATGACTAACCATGGGTCCGGGTAGTTTTGTGGATGTCACCATTGTTTGTTGTTTACCGCCACGCACTATTCCAGCTATGTAACAGCAGTCTGTAAATAATCGAGTCTGGAACAGACAATCCAGTGATTGCCATCATGAGCATCGATCTACGCAATTGGGAGACGATGACATAAATGAACCAAGTCAGCGAGCCTGACCACCTGATCCCATCAGTCGCATCTTACGACAAGCAAAGTTGCATTTTACGGCAAGCATGGGTTGCTGGTGACCTATTCTACCCCGGATCTTCACGGGTCCATTCATTAACAGGCTGCTGTCACCTAGCTGAGTGAAAGAACACCGAGAATGAAAACAACACCAGCACCAACAAATATACAGTTTAATAGCCAGATAACGAAGTATTTACTCTGCACCAGATGAATATGAATAGTCATTTCATGAAGACAGAACTGGTCACATACTCATCAATAAAAACACAACCACTGACAATATTCTACATTCAAGTGTTGGCAATATGTGAAGTCAGGACCTGGTGCAAATAAAGTGTTTGTGGGGAAACGACACAAGCGCAACTTGATTTCTTAACACAATATGCAGCACTTCCTGTGTACGGCATAAATTCCATACTTGCAATGGGATCACTTACTATCTGACATTTTACTAAAACTTGGTGGAATACTGCATTCAACCTGAGGACGATCTAATAGAATATCACAGTATCACCTAGTTCTCATGTAAGGCTAAAAAAAATAATAGCCTTGGTTCTCAGGCACTGCTCGCATCATCATAAAGTTCACCACACGTTTTGTTTTTATTTCCATTTTGAAAAAACAACAAGCCCAAAAATCCTTTAATATTTTAAGTCAAACAGTACCGGTAGTCAAATAATGTATTCCAGTATTTTACTCATCAATGAATACATTTATGTAGGGAGGCCCTTTCCAAGGTTGATTGTACATATTGTTTATTTGGTTACACACTAGCATGAACAACAACAACAACAAAAAAGCAACAACAAAAACATCCACCCGCCAGCCTGCACAATATTTTCAAAAAACATTGCCTGAGAACCAATTCTTTTATTTTTTTAAGCCTAATTGTACACATTTTTCTTCAAGAGGGAGACAAATTATGTGGTATGCTGGATGCCTGGAGAGGAGGTTGGCAGGATTCTAGATGTTGAACACAGAAGATATATATCACCCAAGTCATGAAGTGAACAAAACACACCACAAAGGGACTAACACAGTTAGGTATCGGAAAATAAATTAAGGTGTGTGTGTGTGGGGGGGAAGCAACCCTTTGGAACGGCCTAAATTAAAAATATTTAAACAAAATCAGACTAGCAACTATGATGTGCGAGACATTTGAAATTGTTGAGTCACAGGTCAACAGTCATGATGTGAATTTGTAAACATATCAGCTTGCTTGACCTTGACCTACAGTTATGACCTTGCATATTATAACAATCTCATCAAGCATGTCAATAAGCATGTCGATAAGCATGTCAAGCAGGCTGCATCATGATTATACAAATGTTAGAAAAAGCTTTTCTGTTACTAACAGGACCCAATTTGTTGTTTTTATGCAAAAATGAATTGTTTCATATCATTCATAAGTAACATATGAAAATAAAACTTGCATATGATCTAACAATCATTTTACAAAACCATGAAGTAACAGACTATAAAATATCAACCATATTTGACAAGTACCATAAATCCTTGAGTGAATGCCGGCTTTGAATTAATGCCTTAATAATGAAGAAATATACATGGATATGTGCCTGGTCAACGTGCAAAACAAAAAATGCTTTGAATAAATTCTTGACTTCAATTGACATTGAGTCTGAGGAACTTCCCAAATACATTACAAACGACTGGCACAAATTCAAGGATTTACGGTAGAGTTCTGGTTTGAGTATCAGAGTGAGTGAGTGAGTGAGTTGGGTTTAACGCCGCTTTTAACAGTATTACAGTTATATCGCGGCGTGTCAGCTTAATGTGGGAGGAAAGCCCCAAGTGATGCAGGTCTCAGACGTTTACCACTTCGGTGAAACCCACGAGCACGGGTATGGTGCTGACAAACCTAGAAACATAATTGGGGCGAACCGGGATTCGAACCCACAATCATAGGTTTCTGGCGTGCCCAAGGGACGCAACTCTGCACAGCGAATCGCGGCGCCTTAGTACCTTATACAACATTGGCAAATAATAATAGTATTATTGATCATTTATACATGTTACAATAATGCCTGAAGTTGTAGCAACGTCCAAACTTTCAGGAAGTTGTAATCTACCAGTCCCGGTCTGTCCTTCTGGTGACGTTTCTGACGGATCATGATCTGAAAAATACTTTCATTAAAGTGTATCCCGTACATAAGCAAAACCCATTTTATAGAACCTTTTTTCTGGTCCGGAATTACGATCACCTTAGCACAAGAGCTATCGTAAGCCTATGTTAAAAGTGTGGGAGTTATGATCACCTTAGCACTAGAACTATTGTAAGCCTATGTTAAAGTGTGGGAGTGACATCCACCTTAGCACTAGAACTATTGTAAGCCTGTGTTAAAGTGTGGGAGTTAGGATCACCTTAGCACTAGAACTATTGTAAGCCCATGTTAAAGTGTGGGAGTGACGTTCACCTTAGCACTAGAACTATTGTAAGCCTATGTTAAAGTGTGGGAGTGACGTTCACCTTAGCACTAGAACTATCGTAGTATGGAAGTTACAATCACCTTAGCACTAGAACTATCGTAAGCCTATGTTAAAGTGTGGGAGTGACGATCACCTTAGCACTAGAACTATCGTAAGCCTATGTTAAAGTGTGGGAGTGACGATCACCTTAGCACTAGAACTATCGTAAGCCTATGTTAAAGTGTGGGAGTGACGTTCACCTTAGCACTAGAACTATCGTAGTATGGAAGTTACAATCACCTTAGCACTAGAACTATTGTAAGCCTATGTTAAAGTGTGGGAGTGACGATCACCTTAGCACTAGAACTATTGTAAGCCTATGTTAAAGTGTGGGAGTGACGATCACCTTGGCACTAGAACTATCGTAAGCCTATGTTAAAGTGTGGGAGTGACGATCACCTTTGTGCTAAGATTGCTGGTCTGTGCATTTTTGGGCCTTGAGTGGACATTAAAACATGAGGTTAGCACAAACTGTTTGTACACTTTGTACTGGTCTACTTGTGTTACTGGAGTATTTGGCTGTGCTCCAACACTGGCATAGAACTCTGACAGTTCTGTGAGAGAATCAGAGATATGCAAGACAGGATGAGGTCACAGACATGCAACATTCACTGGAAGACGATACAAGGAAAGTGACAACGACAATCAGGCGTCACAAGACTTACTTTTTTCTTTCCTGTCCCTGCTGCAGTGCTGCAGTGCTTTGGACCCTGATCTTAGCACTATAAGTCTTAGTAAAGTATGGTCGTCATCATAACCGCAGTGCTAAGACCTGTGTTTTGGAATGAATCATAGGGACACAAATAGATGCAGAACCGCAAGTGTCGTGGGCCTTAAAGTTACACAAGAAACTCAATACCAAGATGCTGATTCAAAGCAGATTATAAAACAATACAACTTTCTTAACACTTGAGCTTTATTGGTTAAAAACATATACTACTCAAAAAAGATTTAAGGACCACTCGATTCTTTCATATTACTATACCTAATCTGTCATGGCATGATGGATTAACTATAATAATAGAAATGTATAGGATGGTCCTTAACTTATTTTGAGTGGTATAGTTGAAGCAGACTGTAGCAAACAGGTGACTCTGTGGAAACAGACACAAACTTCTTCTAATCTGGCTTGTAAGGACATGCTGGATTTCTCGGGGTATAAAGAATATTGTGGAACACACAAGATAAGCCGAGGTCAGATGATCGAGAAGTATGGTATTGGCTGCCCAGTAGGTGAGCTGGTCTGATCTTCTTCTATATATAGTAGAGCAGGAAACAGCTTTGTGTGGTTGCCCTCACTACGCAAATAAATAGTGGTAGAGTTATCTCCCCTTAGTTCCATAGTGCTAGAGTTGTCTCCCCTTAGTTTCAGCCCAGCTAATCCTTGCAGAAGAACCTCTTCTCTGGGCATGCAAAGATGATTCTGTCGATGAAATGGATCAGCAATATCAAAATAATGTACATAACCATATAATAAATATTTGTGTGTTCATTGTAGTTCTTTTCCATTCATTTCACATTATTAAATCACCCCAATGGAATGATGGGGAATCCCAATTCAAGTTGAAAGAATTGACGTGGTCTTCCTAGGCCCACTGGTACAAAATGGTCTTATCACTACAATTACTGTAAATTCATAAGATTGTGATTTAAAGGGCAAGTCTCATGGGCATATACAACTTTGCAGATTTGGATGGACGTAACATCGTTAATGAAAATATGATGGATATTGTATTCAAAACATTGAAAGTGGCATGAAAATAAGGTTTATTTGCACTTTTGTCCCATCTTTCAATTTCAAAGGCTGAAATGAAAATACAGCATTGGCAGAGCTTATGCTTATAAAGGGGGTCCATGTAGGTCTTTTTGGAGGAAATTACCTGCAGAAGATGGCGGCTATCACAGCTCCAAGGAGGGGGCCGACCCAGTACACATAGTGGTACAAGACTGTACCTACCTGTAGAAGATAGTGGTACAAGACTGTACCTACCTGTAGAAGATGGCGGCTATCAGAGCTCAGGGAGGGAACCGACCCAGTACACATAGTGGTACAAGACTGTACCTACCTGTAGAAGATGGCAGCTATCACAGCTCCAAGGAGGGAACCGACCCAGTACACATAGTGGTACAAGACTGTACCTACCTGTAGAAGATGGCGGCTATCACAGCTCCAAGTAGGGGACCGACCCAGTACACAAAGTGGTACAAGACTGTACCTACCTGTAGAAGATGGCGGCTATTACAGCTCCAAGGAGGGGACTGACCCAGTACACATAGTGGTACAAGACTGTACCTACCTGTAGAAGATGACGGCTATCACAGCTCCAAGGAGGGGGCCGACCCAGTACACAAAGTGGTACAAGACTGTACCTACCTGTAGAAGATGGCGGCTATCACAGCTCCAAGGAGGGGGCCGACCCAGTACACAAAGTGGTACAAGACTGTACCTACCTGTAGAAGATGGCAGCTATCACAGCTCCAAGGAGGGGACTGACCCAGTACACATAGTGGTACAAGACTGTACCTACCTGTAGAAGATGGCGGCTATCACAGCTCCAAGGAGGGGGCCGACCCAGTACACATAGTGGTACAAGACTGTACCTACCTGTAGAAGATAGTGGTACAAGACTGTACCTACCTGTAGAAGATGGCAGCTATCACAGCTCCAAGGAGGGGACCGACCCAGTACACATAGTGGTACAAGACTGTACCTACCTGTAGAAGATAGTGGTACAAGACTGTACCTACCTGTAGAAGATGGCGGCTATCACAGCTCCAAGGAGGGAACCGACCCAGTACACAAAGTGGTACAAGACTGTACCTACCTGTAGAAGATGACGGCTATCACAGCTCCAAGGAGGGGGCCGACCCAGTACACAAAGTGGTACAAGACTGTACCTACCTGTAGAAGATGGCGGCTATCACAGCTCCAAGGAGGGGGCCGACCCAGTACACATAGTGGTACAAGACTGTACCTACCTGTAGAAGATAGTGGTACAAGACTGTACCTACCTGTAGAAGATGGCAGCTATCACAGCTCCAAGGAGGGGACCGACCCAGTACACATAGTGGTACAAGACTGTACCTACCTGTAGAAGATAGTGGTACAAGACTGTACCTACCTGTAGAAGATGGCGGCTATCACAGCTCCAAGGAGGGAACCGACCCAGTACACAAAGTGGTACAAGACTGTACCTACCTGTAGAAGATGACGGCTATCACAGCTCCAAGGAGGGGGCCGACCCAGTACACAAAGTGGTACAAGACTGTACCTACCTGTAGAAGATGGCGGCTATCACAGCTCCAAGGAGGGGGACTGACCCAGTACACAAAGTGGTACAAGACTGTACCTACCTGTAGAAGATGGCGGCTATCACAGCTCCAAGGAGGGGACTGACCCAGTTCACATAGTGGTACAAGACTGTACCTACCTGTAGAAGATGGCGGCTATCACAGCTCCAAGGAGGGGACCGACCCAGTACACATAGTGGTAGGTCCACACACTGGGCATGTACACACTGAGAGCTACGGCAGGGCCAAAACTGCGAGCTGGATTCATGGAGGCCCCGGTAGTGTTGATACTGAAAGACAGGACACTAACATTACTGGTGGTATCATCTCAGCTTTAATGGGGAATAATGTGGGGTGTAATTGTTGGGGTCGAATAATGTGGTGAAGGGGTTGAATAATGTGGTGTTGGTGTTGAATAATGAGGTGTGGGTGTTGAATAATGTAGTGTCGGTGTTGAATTAGGTGGCATGGGGGTTGAATAATGTGGTGTGGGGGTTTAATAATGTAGTGTTGGGGTGAATAATGTGATGTGGTGTGTTAGATAATGTGGTGTGGGGTTGAATCATGTGTGGGGGTTGAATGAGGTGGTGTAGGGGTTGAATAATGAGGTGTAGGGGTTGAATAATGTGGTGTGGGTGTTGAATAATGTAGTGTGGGTGTTGAATAATGTAGTGTGGGTGTTGAATTAGGTAGCATGGGGGTTGAATAATGTGGTGTGGGGGTTTAATAATGCAGTGTGTGTGTGTGTGGGGGGGTGAATAAGGTGGTGTTGTGTTTGAATAATGTGGTGTGGGTGTTGAATAATGTAGTATTGGGGGTGAATAATGTGGTGTTGGTGTTGAATAATGTAGTGAGGGTGTTGAATTAGGTAGTGTGGGGGTTGAATGAGGAGGTGTGGGTGTTGAATAATATGGGGTGGGGGTTTAATAATGTAGTGTTGGGGGTGAATAATGTGTGGGGGTTGAATGAGGTGGTGTAGGGGTTGAATAATGAGGCGTAGGGGTTGAATAATGTGGTGTGGGTGTTGAATAATGTAGTGTGGGTGTTGAATTAGGTAGCATGGGGGTTGAATAATGTGGTGTGGGGGTTTAATAATGCAGTGTGGGGGTTGAATAATATGGTGTTGGGTGTTGAATAATGTAGTATTGGGGGTGAATAATGTGGTGTTTGTGTTGAATAATGTAGTGTGGGTGTTGAATTAGGTAGTGTGGGGGTTGAATGAGGTGGTGTGGGTGTTAAATAGTGTGGTGTGGGTGTTGAATAATGTAGTGTGGGTGTTGAATAAGGTAGTGTGGGGTTTGAATGATGTGGTGTAGGGGTTGAATAATGTGTGGGGGTGGAATTAGGTGGTGTGGGGGTCTAATAATGTGTGGGGGTTGAATAATGTGGTGTAGGGGTTGAATGATGTGGTGTTGGAGTTGAATGAGATGGTGTAGGGGTTGAATGATGTGGTTTTTGGGGTGAATAATGTGGTGTGGGGGTTTTATAATGTAGTGTGTGGGTTGAATAAGGTGGTGTTGGGGTTGTATAAAGTAGTGTGGGGGTTGAATGAGGTGGTGTAGGAGTTGAATAATGTGGTGTTGGGGGTGAATAATGTGGCATGAAGGTTGAATAAGGTGGTGAAGGGTAAACACATTTTCACAGGGAATCAGACATTTTGTACCTATCTCCTGAGACCTACACCGGGTACCCGGGCAGGGTCTGGTAATAGGGGGGTGGGTACCCGGGTGGTAAATTTGGACTCCTCCCAGCCCTAGTAAATGTGCTTGAAAATGATGTTAGAATCTACACCAAACCAGTGCTACAATTGTAAAAAAGAGGTTGATCATCCTTACATACCATCCATATCATTAGTAATAAGATAGGAGTTGGTATGAAATAGGAATACCTCATAAATACAAATCATTGCCTAACAAATGTAACCTTACTACCTTATACATGTACAAAAGATAAGATAACACTTTATCATCCTGAAGGAAATTTGTGTTACGTGGGGCATAGAGTCTCTGCTTCCTGAGAAACATACATACAAAGACCACCACAAACGATAAATTACATTCATCATAATCGAAATGGGAAATATTCTTCAGTTTCACACACAGATGGCAGTGCAGATACAACACATGTCACAGATAACATTTCACATCGTGTCACAACAGCCGGGACAGATATTGATCATGTTTAGCCAGGTATAATTGTGATGAAACTTGCAGAATACATAAACATATTGATCAGATTAGATACTTCAGTAAGTATAGCATGTTACAGTATGTTTCAGTAAGTTACAGTATGTTTCAGTAAGTTACAGTATGTTTTAGAAAGTTGCAGTATATTTCAGTAGGTTGTGGTATGTTTCAGAAAGTTACAGTATGTTTCAGTAAGTTACAGTTTGTTACAATACAATATGTTTTAGAAAGTTACAGTATATTTCAGTAGGTTGGGGTATGTTTCAGAAAATTACAGTATGCTTTACAAAGTTACAGTATGTTTCAGTGAGTGAGTGAGTGAGTATGGTTTTACGCCGCTTTTAGCAATATTCCAGCAATATTACGGCGGGGGACACCAGAAATGGGCTTCACACATTGTACCCATGTCGGGAATTGAACCCGGGTCTTCGGCGTGACAAGAGAACGCTTTAACCACTTGGCTACCCGACCGCCCCAGTATGTTTCAGTAAGTTATGGTATGTTTAAGGAAGTTACAGTATGTTTTAGAGAGTTACAGTATATTTCAGTAGGTTGTGGTATGTTTCAGAAAGTTACAGTATGCTTCACAAAGTTACAGTATGTTTCAGTTGGTTACAGTTTGTTACAGTATGTTTTAGAAAGTTACAGCATATTTCAGTAGGTTATGGTATGAGAGAGTTACAGTATGTTTCAGTAGGTTATAGTATGTTTCAGTAACTTATGGTATGTTTCACAAAGTTATAGTATGTTTCAGTAAGTTACAGTATGTTTCAGTAGGTTATGGTATGTTTCAGAAAGTTACAGTATGCTTCACAAAGTTACAGCATGTTTCTAGAAGTTACGGTATGTTTCAGTAAGCTATGGTATGTTTCATTAGTTACAATGTGTTTCAGTAAGTCACAGTGTGTTCAATACTCCCATTACTCACATGATACAGATGTGGATCTAGAACAGCAACAAAAGGTGGTGGGAGGTCCCCATCCAAATTGTGACAATGGAAGCATTTTTCATGTTTTTCACATCAAAAAAGGCAAATAAACTTATATCTGAGCACATACGCCAATGCTTGCATAAATTACTTTCTGACAATTAACACAACGGAGTGAGGTTGTTCGCATCATCTCATTGTGGGAGTTTGTTTAACGCCGCACTCAGCAAAATTCCAGCTACATGTCAATCTAGTGATTGACATCATGAGCATTGATCCGGGCAATTGGGATACGACGACATCCATCAACCAAATCAGTGAATCAGACTGTGATTCCATTAGTCGCCTCTTATGACAAGCAAAGTCATCTTTTACGGCAAGCATGGGTTGATGAAGACCTATTCTACCCCGGATCTTCACGGGTCTTTATTGCGGGTATAAAGCCTATGTAGGACTTGGTGAATCCTACAAGCATGGGAATGGCCAACTCACCCAGCTAGGATGCACACAGTCACAGCAAAGCCGATTGCCAGTGGGGCGAGGCTGGACTTGTTGTGGTCATCGACGGCAGACAGCAACACCGTGAGCACCAGCACCGTCGTCAGCAGGATCTCACACAGGATGCCCGGCCCCGGGCCAATGACTGGTGCGTTCAGAATGTGTGCCCCACCATTGATTGCCATGAACTCTTCAAGTGGCAGCACAGCCTTGAAAACAAGATGGAAGTTTAAAAAAATGGCAAACAACAGCATAAACACACCCAGTGCTGAAAGAGTCCATGTCTATGGTTTGTCTATATTATCCTCTTAATATTCCATACTTTGGATAATTTAGTAGCATATTCGACGTAATAAGCGCCCAGGGCGCTCTCAAAATTAAAAGTAGGGGGCTCTAATAAGACTAAAATTTTGGTGAAAAAAAAACAGTTGAAAGATCGTAAATTTTGTGGTTTATGCTGACAGCTTGAAATGATACAAAAGAAAAGTCTGTGTGTATTATACATGACATATATTTTTCCAGAATTTAATTGTCCATAATTAAGGGTGCATATAACACACAAGTGCGTATCATTCACGAATAAATAAGTCTTGTGTACATTGATCAATCGGAAGGGGTGTAAATTGGTATTGTTCACTAGCCAATATATTAGCAAATATCGCCTCGGGCGCTTTTTAGAGCGGGGCGCTAATTACGTCGAATACGGTATATGGAATTAGTAAGGACTATTACTTTCAGTACTGACAAAAAGTGCCCTTTTCAAGAAATATCCATTTTACTTGTGATAAACAGCATCACTGAGTTTTGATCACGTGGTAACAATCAGGTGACTGAGTGGTTACATCTAGCAGTGCGTGCATTTCGCACTGGGTCAATACCACTTTAAATACTAAATCTCCACTCACCCTGACAAATCCTGCTCCCACCATGGCGCCGGTCAGCTGAGCAATGACATATGCAGCAGCCATGACTGGTGTGATGGCGCCGCTCAGGAGGATGCCCAGTGTCACTGCCGGGTTGAGGTGGGCACCACTGCAAGGTACAGTCATCATGATGAAGTGGGTCAGTGAGTGAATGAGTTTTATGACACGCAGAATGACAGCGGGATGGTTAGTATGATCAACGTTCTTGCCGTGAAGATCCGGGTTAGAATAGGTCTCCAGCAACCCATGCTTGCCGTAAAAGGCGACTATGCTTGTCGTAAAATGCGACTAACGGGATCGGGTGGTCAGTCTCGCTGACTTGGTTGATGCATGTCATGGATCCCAATTGTGTGGGATCACTGGATTGTCTGGTCCAGGCTCCAATATTTACAGACCGTCATCATATAGCTGGAATATTGCTGAGTGCGGCATTAAACAACAAACCTACCTATAACCTTGCTGTATGGGTAGGCTGTCATGCAATCAGCAACATATTGACACATAGTACACCTGGTCAGGCCTGTCTATATTAATCAGTGAGTCTTCAGGTTAGTTCTTCCAAAACTTAGGTCTTTAATCCAAATACAATTAGAAAGAAAATTGACAAAATGTTATGAAAGGGTTATTTTCAAAGATGTTTATCGGTTGAAATATCGAGAGTGCAACACAAAATTTACGTCACCAAAAATGAAAAGGCATAACTATTTTGAAGAATAATTTGTAAAGTATTTTCTGGGATATTTGTAAGAGACGGGATATTTTTGGGTTGCTGCTTCAAAATCAAAATCAGTTTTTTTCTGTAAAAGAACGCAAAACAAATGAAAAATAAAAAAAACACACATTACTTTCAGAACATCTAGCATATCCAAAAACAAGTTGCTTTTTGGTCAAATAGGGAGACCATTTGTTTCTGGAACAGATGATATATTTCAAAACAGTCCCAGACCCCACCAGATAATCAATGGTTGACCCTTGTAGACATGATAAAGTTCACCAGGCCACGCATATGGCCACCAACATGACTGCTGATGTCCATCACCATTGTTCAGGTGTGTTCCAGGTGTTCCAGGTGTTCCAGGTGTTCCAGGTGTGGCCTGACTGTACAGGAGCAGTAGCTGATACATCCCCGCTATAAATGGGGATTGAAATAAACTGTCACTTAAATCTTAAGCTTGACTTCCATAATTTAGAATCAATACCCCAAACATAAAAGTTTTCAACATATTGCCTTTAATTGTCCCTACCATTTGGAAAGATTATTTAGGAAACTACACATATCAACTCAATTGTGTGCCACAATATATATATTATTAGATATTACAAAAGCCCATGGACAATTTTAAGTTTGTATGTCATTGATGAAAGCATTTAATCACACAATGTTCATAAAAAAAAGTCAGAAATAGTCAAGAAGTAAATACTATTTCCTCAAGGTGTAGACACATATTAAAAACATACTACTTAAACCAGTTTAAGGCGCCACGGGTGGCCCAGTCGTCTAAGGCGCCGCGATTCGCTGTGCAGAGTTGCATCCCTTGGGCACGCCAGAAACCTATGATTGTGGGTTTGAATCCCTGTTCGCCCCGATTATGTTTCTAGGTTTGTCAGCACCATACTCGTGCTCGTGGGTTTCACCGAAGTGGTAAACGTCTGAGACCTGCATCACTTGGGGCTTTCCTCCCACATTAAGCTGACACGCCGCAATATAACTGGAATACTGTTAAAAGCGGTGTTAAACCCAACTCAATCACTCACTAAACCAATTAAAAGAACATCTAATTCTTTCATATCACCACAGTTGAAAAAACGCAAGGTATCCCACTCGGTCACTCACTCACCACCAACTGATAACATGGGGTGTATCATGCCAAGCTGCTATCTCTGACATCATGTATCTGATGTTGGCTGCACTGAGCGTGTATGTATGATATTGAGAAATGTGAGACACTTGGCACCCATCTCAGAAACAATAACGGGAACTAATACACATCCGTCTTTTGACAAAGGAACAATTAATTTGGGCACATTTGACCCTGGTACACTTCCTTAGGGCATATAAGACTCTGGTACACTTAGGACATATCTGACTCTGGTACACTTAGGACATTTCTTACTCTGGTGCACTTAGTACATATCTGACTCTGGTGCACTTAACTAGGACATATCTAACCCTGGTACACTTAGTACATGTCTGACTCTGGTACACTTAGTACATATCTGACTCTGGTACACTTAGTACATGTCTGACTCTAGTACACTTAGTACATGTCTGACTTAGTACACTTAGTACATGTCTGACTCTGGTTCACTTAGTACATGTCTGACTCTGGTGCACTTAGTACATATCTGACTATGGTACACTTAGTACATATCTGACTCTGGTACACTTAGTACATATCTGACTCTGGTACACTTAGTACATGTCTGACTCTGGTACACTTAGTACATATCTGACTCTGGTACACTTAGTACATATCTGACTCTGGTACACTTAGGACATATCTGACTCTGGTACATTTAGTACATATCTGACTCTGGTACACTTAGTACATATCTGACTCTGGTGCACTTAGTACATATCTGACTCTGGTACACTTAGGACATATCTGACTCTGGTACATATCTGACTCTGGTGCACTTAGTACATATCTGACTCTGGTACACTTAGTACATATCTGACTATGGTACACTTAGTACATATCTGACTCTGATGCACTTAGTACATATCTGACTCTGGTACACTTAAAACATATCTGACTCTGGTACACTTAGTACATATCTGACTCTGGTACATATCTGACTCTGGTGCACTTAGTACATATCTGACTCTGGTACACTTAGGACATATCTGACTCTGGTACATATCCGACTCTGGTGCACTTAGTACATATCTGACTCTGGTACACTTAGTACATATCTGACTATGGTACACTTAGTACATATCTGACTCTGGTACACTTAGTACATATCTGACTCTGGTGCACTTAGTACATATCTGACTCTGGTACACTTAGGACATATCTGACTCTGGTACATATCTGACTCTGGTGCACTTAGTACATATCTGACTCTGGTACACTTAGTACATATCTGACTATGGTACACTTAGTACATATCTGACTCTGATGCACTTAGTACATATCTGACTCTGGTACACTTAAAACATATCTGACTCTGGTACACTTAGTACATATCTGACTCTGGTACATATCTGACTCTGGTGCACTTAGTACATATCTGACTCTGGTACACTTAGGACATATCTGACTCTGGTACATATCCGACTCTGGTGCACTTAGTACATATCTGACTCTGGTACACTTAGTACATATCTGACTATGGTACACTTAGTACATATCTGACTCTGGTACACTTAGTACATATCTGACTCTGGTGCACTTAGTACATATCTGACTCTGGTACACTTAGGACATATCTGACTCTGGTACATATCTGACTCTGGTGCACTTAGTACATATCTGACTCTGGTACACTTAGTACATGTCTGACTCTGGTACACTTAGTACATATCTGACTCTGGTACACTTAGTACATGTCTGACTCTGGTACACTTAGTACACGTCTGACTGGTGCACTTAGTACATATCTAAATCTGGTACACTTACTACATGTCTGACTCTGGTACACTTAGTACATGTCTGACTCTGGTACACTTAGTACATGTCTGACTCTGGTACACTAAGTACATGTCTGACTCTCGTGCACTTAGTACATATCTGACTCTGGTACACTTAGTACATGTCTGTCTCTGGTACACTTAGTACATATCTGACTCTGGTACACTTAGTACATGTCTGACTCTGGTACACTTAGTACATGTCTGACTCTGGTGCACTTAGTACATATCTGACTCTGGTATACTTAGTACATGTCTGACTCTGGTGCACTTAGTACATATCTGACTATGGTACACTTAGTACATATCTGACTCTGGTACACTTAGTACATATCTGACTCTGGTACACTTAGGACATATCTGAGTCTGGTACACTTAGTACATATCTGACTCTAGTACACTTAGTACATGTCTGACTCTGGTACACTTAGTACATATCTGACTATGGTACACTTAGTACATATCTGACTCTGGTACACTTAGTACATATCTGACTCTGGTACACTTAGTACATGTCTGACTCTAGTACACTTAGTACATGTCTGACTTAGTACACTTAGTACATGTCTGACTCTGGTTCACTTAGTACATGTCTGACTCTGGTGCACTTAGTACATATCTGACTATGGTACACTTAGTACATATCTGACTCTGGTACACTTAGTACATATCTGACTCTGGTACACTTAGTACATGTCTGACTCTGGTACACTTAGTACATATCTGACTCTGGTACACTTAGTACATATCTGACTCTGGTACACTTAGGACATATCTGACTCTGGTACATTTAGTACATATCTGACTCTGGTACACTTAGTACATATCTGACTCTGGTGCACTTAGTACATATCTGACTCTGGTACACTTAGGACATATCTGACTCTGGTACATATCTGACTCTGGTGCACTTAGTACATATCTGACTCTGGTACACTTAGTACATATCTGACTATGGTACACTTAGTACATATCTGACTCTGATGCACTTAGTACATATCTGACTCTGGTACACTTAAAACATATCTGACTCTGGTACACTTAGTACATATCTGACTCTGGTACATATCTGACTCTGGTGCACTTAGTACATATCTGACTCTGGTACACTTAGGACATATCTGACTCTGGTACATATCCGACTCTGGTGCACTTAGTACATATCTGACTCTGGTACACTTAGTACATATCTGACTATGGTACACTTAGTACATATCTGACTCTGGTACACTTAGTACATATCTGACTCTGGTGCACTTAGTACATATCTGACTCTGGTACACTTAGGACATATCTGACTCTGGTACATATCTGACTCTGGTGCACTTAGTACATATCTGACTCTGGTACACTTAGTACATATCTGACTATGGTACACTTAGTACATATCTGACTCTGATGCACTTAGTACATATCTGACTCTGGTACACTTAAAACATATCTGACTCTGGTACACTTAGTACATATCTGAC